TAGAACCAATTATATGCCCTTGTTGCACAAACAGGCCTATAGTTGGCAGCTGTGGTGTCTTGCTTAACAACAGTCACTGAGATAATTAATAGTAGACCTACTTAGTAAATCGACCTACAAGAATCGACAGCTGGGTTTTAAACTGAAATTAAAATCTAATAGCGATCTTTTAAAATTGAACGGACTATATACTGGGATTTTTCAAAGTGGAAGGATACAATTTGAAAGAATGGTTAGAGATGTTTTAAAGAGTATTGTTAATGAAAATAAAAACAACAACATAACGTCTCCATGCATATATATATATATATATATATATATATATATATATATATATATATATATATATATATATATATATATACTGTCTCTCCATGTACATTATACAGAGTCACCAAGTGCAGCATTTTATTTGCACTACAGTTAATAGTTTTTAGAGTTAACCTTTGATTTATCGCCATCTATTAAAGGCAATGTACGATATAGGTTTCGAGCATTCGATTTGTTGGTGCCTTCAAGAATTTACGTTTGATAAGTCGAATTCACTTCCAAGTAATACCCGGAGACGTGACATGGAAGAAGACACCAAGAAGATTGGATACACCTGGGGACAGTTGGAGAGACTAGCCCAGGAAAAATGCCCAGAAAGCTCTTGTCAGCGGCCTATGTTGCAGGTGGGGGCGACAGGCTAATCTATTCTAACATTAGTTGAGTTTATTTACATTTCCGTTTTTAGTTATAGTACTTAAGACATAGGACTGAATAAGTAAGTACAAAAAAGACTAAATTGCTTTGATAAAATATACGTAACTATTATACCGAGTCGTTTCAAAATAGAACATACAATAAAATTCTTCAAACGTTATACAAGGTTATACGGACATTCTTTTCTAAACGTCAGATTACCTACCTTGTGACGGAAATCTAGGTCAAGGCTATAATAAAAACTGAATTAATTCGATGGTTATTGTCATTATAGTGTTTGACTGCAACAGCTTACTGATGCAAGACGGATTATCCCCCTTTCAAAACTATTCAAACCTCAAACATTTTACTATCTTTAAACTCGCATAATGGCTAGTAGTAAATAAGAAGCAGACGCCTTGCTCATGTTTTCTGTGTGATAAAATATTGCTATTTCCAATATTTTTTCTAGTACTTTTTTGTATGCGCTTTTTTTCTGCGTTCGTAAAATGTGCACGATTTTGTTGTGCATTTTCCCGTTGCGTTTTTTTTCCCATCAACCCCAAAAAGCTCGTGACATTAAGGCCATTCCCACCCCACCCCACATTGATTTATCTGCCCTGTACCACGTTGAAGATATTTCTATTGATGAAGGTGAATCGCTCACCTGTCAACGCCTACCTGTTCATGCAGGAGTGTGAGTAATATTTGCAAGATGGAGGGTTAACTTACGTTAGTATACTACCTGTTACCTGCCCAGCATAACACAGTCGCAACAATCAAACCTGCTCCCCTCTCTCCATGTTGTACATAGTCACAACAGTCACACCTGACTCCATCCCCCCCCCCCCACTTTCCATGTTACACAAAATCACAAACGTCACACCTGTCCCCACCCCCCACCCCGCCCCCGAACCTTACATGAGACACATAGTGACACCAGTCACTCCTGCCCCCCCCCCTCCTTACCTTCCATGCAACACAAAGTCACCACCGTCACACCGCCTTCACCCCCCTCCAACTTTTCCATGTTTCAGGGGGCACACAAAAAAAAACAACACCTGACCATATCTTTTAACATACTGTCACATGCTGTAACTATCATGGTATTTAAACTTTTTCTGAGAAAAAAAAATGTGACAAACTGGCGGAGCAGCTTGTTCCGTCTAGTTAAAGAAATAATTGTAGGTGAGAACTAAAAATGAGAGTTTAATCCTGGTGAACTAATCCGGTTAAAAATTAAAAATATCAATCTCAAAAGTTGACTAGTAAAGCGTCCCACTATCCGTCACACGACTTTTCTTTGAAAAAAGTCAACATTATGGGGGATACACAGCAAAATTTGACCAAAGGGTTTTTGATGTTGGGATGTTCGTGGATAATTTTTGAGACTATCTAAGATATGGGAGTCTGAGAAAGGGAGAATATATGAGACCCGGGAGAATGAGACCCGTAAGAATATCAGATACCCGGGGGACTATCTTAGGCCTATCTGGGACCCCGGGAATATCTGAGACCCGGCGACTATCTTAGGCCCAGAGGACTATCTGGGACCTCGGTAATATCTGAGACCCGGAAGACAATCTGAGACACGGGATAATATCTTAGCTCTGGATCTAATTAAGCTCCAGTAAATAAAACATGATGTATTCTGTGTTATTGTGTCAGATTTTCTTAATTTACTGACTTTAGTTACATTTTGGTTAAAAATGTTAGAGACCCCCTCCCCCCACCCCTCGCCCCAAGTGCTCTGATTGGATTTGATGTCACATTGATGAAACGAAAAAAAAAACGAAAGTCAAAGCCACGACATGGAAAGAGTTTCTTTAGTATAACATCTTTCGTTTGATGGTGCGGGAGGGATGCTGGTAAAGGTGTGTGTGTGTGTGTGGGAGGAGGGGGGCGATTGCATGCTTGTATTGTCTAGGTAGGAGACATTTGTGTTCTGACATGTAATAAAGTACTACGTAGGGGGAAGAAAAGTGAATGTAATGTAGCAAAATCAACATTTTGTAAGCGCTTCTTTATATATGAACTAGCGTACCCGACCCCCGCGCGTTGCCGCGGGGATAGAAGAAAGTCTGACGAAATATATTCGAAAGATATCACCAATGCATTACCAATCATATGTTCTTAAACGCGTGACGTCTTTTCTAAAAATGAGTTATTTAAATGTAAACAATGCCTCCGCTTGGATCATAAATATCGGGACACGGGTTTACCTACACTACCGCATGAAAACATTGAGTGTACATTAATCACTCACCGAAATAATATGGTAGAACACACTTCGGTGACCGCCCATGTGTCAGAGACATAGAGGGGCGCTCTCAGGGCCCCCACCCCCTGATTACACTACCGCAAAGGCGCGGTGTAAGACCCCTGGCTCCTTAAAACTAACAGGCGCCATCGTGCCAAATAGCCTCCTGTTAATAATGATGCAGATTTCGTCATTCGCTAAAGTGAAACAAATAAACAGGATTTTCTTTTAACACGTAAAAAAATTATTTGACGTGTTTTAAACATCAGTGTGAATGATGCAATATGCTAGCGTTACTAATGGTCTATTATTAGATGCTCGATCTCAATTTCTGACTGGATCGTCTAATAAGAGATGCTTATTGCATCATTCGCAAAGTGACGAAACTCTACAGTAGGCTCCTCATATTCAAAAAGTTATTTTTTCATCTTTCGCAAGTTGACGAAACTGTACAGAAGGATTTTCTCGCGTTACAAAGTTATTTTTAGAAGCCTGTTGTAGTTTTACTGCTGAATATAGTAGTACCCCTTACTCGCTATGCAGGACTCTCGATTAACGGATGCCAAGTGCCAACATCGTCGCTCTAAAACTCTGGGCGCCAAACCGTGTATTGACGAAAGTTGTACCCTATATGGCGCCGTCCATAAGAAACTTTAGTTTTCTTTTTCGCAGAAATATTCTCGATAGTATTCTCATCTACTCCCTGAAGTTTCATGGCACTCGGATGAACCGCATCCGAGTTTTATTTTTTATATACCGTGTATAGAGAAAAAAATCGCTCCACCCCCCCGGGGGCGCCGCCCTTGCAATATTAAAAAATATTTTTTTGCAGAACCCTACCATTGAGTGATCTAATCATCTCCCCAAAGTTTCATGGTACACGGATGAACGGTGTGTAACCGAAATAGACTTTTATTTTTATAAACCGTATATAGAGAAAAATTGCAGCCTCCCGTGGCGCCGCCCTCGCGAAATTAAAAAAGGATTATTTGTTTTACAGAACCCTTCCCTGAATTGTTCTAATCAACTCCCCAAAGTTTGATGGCGATCAGATAAATGGTGTAAAACCAAAATGACTTTTATTTTTATATACCGTATAGTGAGAAAAATCGCACCCTCCCGTGGCGCCGCCCTTGCGAAATTAAAAATTATTTTTTACAGAACCCTTCCCTAGAGTGGTATAATGAACTCCCATAAGTCTCATGGCTATCGCATGAACGATGCCAAACCAAAATCGACTTTCTTTTATTTTTATATACGGTATATAAAGAAAAACAAATCGCGCCCTGCTGGGGCGCCACCCCAACGAATTTGAAAATGTTTTTTTCGCAAAAACCTCCCCAGGAGTATTCTCAACATCTTCCCGAAGTTTCATGGCGATCGGGTGAACGGTGTCACTGCAATTCACTTTTATTATTTTTATATACCGTATATAGAGAAAAACAAATCGCGCCCTGCCGGGGCGCCACCCCTGCGAATTCGAAATTTTTTTTTCCGCAGAAACCTCCCCAGGAATATTCTCAACAACTTCCCAAAGTTTCACGGCGATGTGATGAGAGGTGTAGTAATGCATAAAGGACAGACACACAGACACACAGACATACATTGCTTTATATATATATATATAGATATGTAGACTTTGGTTGATTTTTTTTTTCAAATTTTCAAAGGGGTCGGTATTTCTCCCCTGAGCACGATACTCACTCGGATACTGCAATCCTCAAACGAAACAATAAATTAAAAATAAATATTGGCATACAGAAAATATATACTTCAACCTCCATCACACCCAAGGGAGTGGTGCAAGTCCACCCCTCCAATCGGACCCCACACCAGAAGAAAAACGTCGGAAAGAAACTATTAGAAACCACAAACAAATGTATTGTAACGACGTGCCAGCACAATTCCTGACAGCAGACTTTTCAAAACATCAACAAACACATCACAACATTAAAAATAAAAAAAATAAAAAAACCGCCTTGTCTTACTAGTGTAAAACAACGAAACAAAACATCCTCAAACATTTTTTCCCCCTACAAATCAAATCATCTCTTACCTCCCGCTAGTTAATCCTTGGGACTGATTTAACTCATAAACATCAACAGACACAGTAATCCGTGCTCACACATCAACGTGTGCACTACTACAGTCTACAACCCCTCTAGGTCGTGTAGTGTAGCAGACGATAGGCCACCACACAGCGCAACATGTGACACGGAGACCACAACTTTCGTTTTCACGCGGGGCTATTTATAGACAGGGGCGGAGACTAGTAGGGTGGTTTCCAATGAGTTTTTTTTTTTAAATTATGATGTTGCCCTCGGCGCCATCTTTGTAGGTCAAGGTGAGTCGCATGATCTCTCCCACCACATAGCCCCCCCCCCCCCACCTCCCATTTACGTATTTAACAATTGTAATAAATAACACCAGTTAGAAATGAAGTTCACATGTTAATATTACGAGATATAGTCCATGATAATGGAATCTTCTAAAAAAAGGGGATGTTAGGCTACTGTTTACCAACTTAATACTAAAATCGCTTTTTTACGTCAACACCCACCCTACCCATAACCCAAACACTAACACAAATCCTACTATAGCTCTAACCCTAGTTCTGACCTAAACACTAAACCTGATATTACAAAACCGCTATAGCAACCTAACACACCTATTTTCAGAAGAGTCTATTATCGGACACGGGTAGCGCTAATACTCCTCTATTACTATTAGATAAGGTCCAGTGAGCCAACTAGCTCTACTAACATTAGCAAAGTTATCCTACATAAAATTACAGTGATCTCCCCTGAAAAAACAGCTCACTGTGTCATGTTGATATCACGTGATTTGTGTTGTTGTTTATATCACGTGTTTTGAGTTGTTGTGATATGGGACTGAGCTAAACAAACTTCATCTACCTTGTTTGACGTTTGATGGAAAAGTAATTTGGTGACAAAATCATCAAAGACTTGCCAACATCAAACACATTTTTCCCCGCCGCCATCTCTAGGCGCAAAGTTTCAATAAGATTTATAGAGCAGAAACAAATAGATTTCAGCGTGGGTTGCCGTACTCGTGGGTAGAGGATGGTGTGTGTGTGGGGGGAGGGGGGGATTAGTAATAACAAGGCGCAAAAAAATTCAGGGGAAATGTTTTTATTGAAGTTGGATTAGCAAGGTACTGCAGCTAGATGAAAAAAAAATGTTAGGTAACCGCGTCCCTATAGTTGCCTCCGTTTCCTTGTACTAAGAAAGGGTTAGGCGTACAGATTAGATGCATGATTAATTTGGGTTAGGGTTTTAGGGATGTAGGACACAAGATACACAAGGCCGACACGAACATGGTATTTCGGCCTTGTGGTGTATCGGCCTTATGGTCATTCGGCTTTTTTTTATATCGGTCTTTTTTTTTTGTCACCGTCTGCCGTTTGTCCGTGTCGGCCTTATGTTCATATCGGTCGTTTATCTGGATCCCGGCATTTAGGATTAATGTTTTGGATTAAAGTAAAATTACGGATTAGTGAAGGCAGTTATTCAGGCCCTGCTGAAAATAATAGTAGCAGTACTTTAAGGTACTATTTGATTATTGCCCAGTAGCAGTACTTCAAGGTACTATTTGATTATTGCCCAGTAGCAGTACTTTAAGGTACTATTTGATTATTGCCTAGTAGCAGTACTTTAATGTACTATTTGATTATTGCCTAGTAGCAGTACTTTAAGGTACTATTTGATTATTGCCTAGTAGCAGTACTTTAAAGTACTATTTGATTATTGCCTAGTAGCAGTACTTTACGGTACTATTTGATTATTGCCTAGTAGCAGTACTTTAAGGTACTATTTGATTATTGCCTAGTAGCAATACTTTAAGGTACTATTTGATTGTAACCTAATACAGTTACACGAAAGCCGACGCTGAGTTCACGTGACTGCTATAAATAGACTACCTGAGATTCGCCCGAGGGCAATAATTTAGAAACGAGGACGTCTCCATTACTGTGTGAAATTATGATAGCCCAATAAAAAATATTCAAGGACTAGGAGGATGCTGATGTAGGGCAACTAGCGCATCACACGTTTTGAACTGTTTAAGTTGGGCAGTCGGCAGGGGCGGATCATGAAGGAGGCTGAACGGGCTTCAGTCAGAGGCCCAAACTTTAATGTCAAAAATATTTTTTTCTTTAGCTGTGGCAAATAATATAAACCGTCTTTTAATCAGCAGCAGGGGCAATGGGTGTTTTTTCATTACTGAGCGGCCTTATGATCAGAGTTTCTTTTAGGTATCTCTTTAGGGAGTGGGGGGGGGGGGGGGAGGTGAAGTGTGCGCCCCCCCCCTCCCCAAACGGAATAGAATTCATGTAGAAAATATAAACTTTTACCACTTTCCACCCCAGAAAGTTTAGCGTCCCTCCCCATGTTCCACCTAAACAGCGCAGTAGTGTTGAACTGCCGCGCTGTTATTTTGTAAATTACATGCATCCTTGTATAAGACCTTTAGAACGCCGCGAACACAAAATACAGTATGCAAGCTAACAGTTTTCCCATAGACAAAACGTTGAAGACCCCCCCCCCCACACACACACCGAAAGTTTCAAGGTCTGAAAGAAACACTGCTACTGACCATCGACTGTCCGCCACTGACTGTCTTCCTGTCTCTCCCCCCTCCCCCTTGCCCAGTCATTTGATCAATAGTCCGGTCAATGTGTGCACTAGTTAACCCCTTTTTCTATTAGGGTTAGGGTTATTTGCCAGAGTTCGTAGTCTGAGAATTTATTGAGCCTGTCTTTGGGATAACATGGTCTAGCGGTAGAGCGCGCGAATGCTCACTCTAAAGTCACTAGTTTGGATCCCGGGCTCGAGATCAGAATCAGCTCAAGCATGACGTCATACAGATAACAGAATCAAATGACAACATCCATCTTCATCCATCACCATCATCATCTTTTCCCGTTCGTGCACAAGACCTCGACATACAAGAGGATAGTGTGGCCAGCACTATGTTCAGACGTTTTGTTTCGCTAACGTGTGTCAGGTACTTATCAGAGCTGGGTGGGCTCAGGGACGTCTTACAGACTCAAGAACGAATCCGTTTAGTAGTCTAGCGCTTTACCTCTCGGCCACTCCGTCCCACACCGTCCCACACCATCCAAATTACGATCTTTAAAACGTGTATTTTCCATATGTGTAATAAGCGTGTTATCGCGCTACTTAAAATATAAATCAAGATAAGTTCCCTACAATAATAAAACAAGTGTCATTAAGTGCAATAGACAAACAGGAACTGGCTCCACCATGTTAAGCCGGGAACATCAGCTTGTTGTATCATGCATGTCATAAAATTACAGGCAACCTTTCCAACAGTGAGTTACTGTACTCACACACGGATGCACGTGAAATTAAAATAGACAATGGACCAAGGATTGCCCAATGCTCTGAGTCTAAGTAACTGCACTATAAATAACAGCCAATAGAAATCTAAACTTGAATGCCATAGTCACTTTAACTGTTTTCCTGATAGTCTTATGTGTATTCTTTTTCTTGTGTTATTTTTAATTCATAGGGGAAAAAAGTATGACAGCTCTACAACCGTTGTATTAGGATCCTATTCAACACTTAACTAAACATCTATAATTAATATTATGGCGTTTCATAATTAAAACGACCTCTCACAATAGTCGTCTGTGATAGACGACATAATTCAAATCCTGTTTACTTTAGATTTTATAAATACACCTTATAGTGGATGAATACACGGTGATGTTATTTTAAGGAGATAAATATAATTAAAGGTCAGGTTGACCGTGCACTCAATTAACCTTACGTTATAAAAAAACCAGCTGTTGAACATATGACGTGTATGTTCTGCTCTCTACTGTTTACAGTCACATACACGAAGATGCGGAGAGAGAGAAGCCACTATTGATCCAACATCTCAATTAGCTTAAAGAGGGTTAAGTCAGTTGTCCGTTAATCGTTTTTGTTTTAGTATGTTACATTTTTCAGTAGACATTTATTCAAAGAGTTGCAACGAGAGTTGTATTATATTAGTAGCTTTATTTTAAATATACAAAATATTACAAAAAAGCTTTTTATACCTACCTTAAAATGTACAAAAATTACAATAAAAGTAATCATCTTCTTCTTCGTTCTTAAATTTTAGTGTTGGAAGAGATTGAGCCTAATCTGCCAAAGGGTTAAACTCGAGACTTTTTCGAATTTATCAACCATGAGCTTTTGCCGACTCGACCACGCCTCCATCACAATTAAGGATTGACTCCGATTTCAGCCTTCTTTTCTTTTTGGATTTGCTTCCATAGCCTTTGTTCAACCAAGAACAAAATAACAGAGGCAGTTGTAAAAGAAATGTTATAACTATATTTAAATGTATAAAAAGAAATGTTATCGCTACATTTTACTCCAATGTTTTTGTATGCACATTTTTGGTTCCATGTCATGTGGTTGTCCAAAGGGTTTACCCCCCCCCCATATCAGACTGCAACATGTCTTTACAAAACTCCACACCCCTTTCCAGGGTTTCTTTCAGATTATTTTCTTTGGTAGGGGTCAAAGTGTATATTTTGTATATAATGTAGGGCGTAAATGAACGCTACCAATCTTCTTTTCCATCATCCTCTTTCCTAATTAACTAATTTGTAAGAATGACAAAAAATAAATTTTTCATATTTCCAGGGTACTAGCCGGGCCCATCGTCACACAATTACGTCATCTCTCTCAGCTTTCGTGTGTGACGTCATTAAAAAAATCGTCATTTCTTACCAGATTCCTAATAAAATCAGTCACCGCTAGTCTTTAAACCTGGCTACATTAAGTCGGGGATTATAGTTTAGTCGTATGTATCAGCTTAATAGAGATCGCCATCACAGACAATAATACTCATTTAGTTTTACCTTAACCTAACCTCTAACTAATCTAAATAAATCAGCTAATTAGGTGATATCGCTGATTACATTAGCTGAGTAATCGATTACCGCTCGGGCCACGTGGCAACATGATCTCACATTTCAACTCGAAAAAATCTGGACAACCGATTCCACCATCTCCAATGGCAACCTAGACCATACGAGAACACGCTATCAGCTGGTGAAACCGACTCGTTTGATTGTAATTGCATGCGAGGAAATCACAACCTGCAACTAATTACTAATTAACGGTCTCTAGGACGTAAAATCAAACAATTTCTTGCAGTTT